CCCTCAGGTCCAAATTTTATTCTCAGGTGGGTCACAAAGGTATGTTACCTTGGAATTGCCCTTGCCTCCTCTAAATTCTACTGTCAGCGCTGCTCATAAAGGTATGCTACATTGGAATGGCACCTCCCTCCTCGAAACATTCGTCTGAGACATCGCCGTCGCCTCCTCGCCTCCCTCCAGGCATGCACGGGTGACGGGTGACCAAAGGACCAGACCAAGTAACCAGGAGGGGACCAGGGGACCAGCTGATTAAGGCTTTCTTTTTTGGTGAGCAGTCTTTTTTGATTGGGTAGTTATTGCTTCTTGATTGGGGATTGATGTTTGATCCCTATGCCCTATGCCGAACGAAACATAGGCATACCAGTAGTCTGTTGCTTGGGCATGTGGAAATAGAGTTTTGGTTTGAGCATGCTCTCGCAAGTGGTTTAAGCCCAAACAAATTCGTCTTCTATACAGCAACTTCACGCCAATCCTCTGCTGGAGCTCAATGAGATCTGAAACCCTTCAAGATATCATACTGGAGTCCACCACAACTCTGACTACAAACCAACCTGAGAAGCTGCAAAGCAAAAGCCAGCATTTTTTGTCAACGAGCACATGGTTGGCCAAAGACAGCATGCTGCCAGGTATAGCGCTTCAATTTCCCTTTCCCTAAGCCGCTAGATAACCTTGAGAAACGTGCAGCAATCCACAGCTTTGAAGTCTCATTAGCGCTTTGTGTGTAAGAGGTTATGCATTCACAGCTGCACGAAGCTACAACACATCAAACTACACCTTACCATGCAGATGATGCAAATGCAAAAACATGCATTTCTTACATCACCACCCGCTCAAACATCACAAAAAATCATCTCCAAAACAACCTCCAAAACCTTGCTTGCGTGCACCCCTAAACACCACCTAATTTCGAGTTTACGTAGGGGTTTCTCGGGCCACCCCCCCAGACCCCCTACTTACTCACTTCGTTCGCCAAACACAACTCAGCTGGCGCCTTCTACGAAGGCTGGCTTTCGTAACATCTTCCCCACGCCACAAGGCACCAAAAAATCTATCAATCCTATACAAAGCAGTTGGCAAACACTTGCATATTATACACAAAGTACAAAGCACAGAGTATTCAAATTACAGTAGAGAGCCGCCCGCGTGAAACGAAGGTGGTCGATAACTAAAACACCACTGAGGCTATCTCCAGTCAGGTGCTTGACCGTTCTCAATGACAGCGCGCGTGACCATGGCACTGGAGCCTGAAGTGCCAGGTTTGACCAGAGATGACACTGAATGCTGTCGCTTGACTTGTCACTTGTTTGTTTGTTTGCTGTCCAAATGTTTCAACGCCTCAAAAAGAATGACTCTTCTGACATGGAGCCTAGGATGGTGCCGCGGATAGTGTGTGGCCTCGTCATATAATACTGAATTCTTGCATGACAACAGTCCCATCAAGGTGTGTAGCTCCGGCAAGTATTGACAGTACTGATCTCCGAACCTTAGGAACTTCCAGAAAGCTTCAAGAAGGTTGGACTTGTCAGACTTGCTCTGATCTCCTGTCATTCAAACAGATTCTGCAGACTCAACCACGCAGTTGATCTTACTAATCGACTCAAGCTAGCAGCTAGCTGAACTGAAGACTTTCCGGAAATGACACTACCTTCCAGTGATCCTTTCGCACTCCTTCGATGGCACTGGACTCCGCCTTTGCAACCGCGCGAGGCGCCTCCAGAAACTCCAAAGCCCAATAGCTACAGCATGCTAGCTGCTAGGTGATAGCTTCAAGGAGTGGCAACACCGTGGCATGTACTATGTTTCAAATCTTCAACAAAACTCGAGGCTGGACATTTCAACACGGAAATACCGGGCAGCCTAAAGGAGAATGTGTTCGATTGGCGTACACTACAGCAACAGAAGTGTGGAGGGATGCAACCATAAAAGGAGGAATAGTTGAGAAAAGATCTATATATATATATATAATCTAGTTGTTCGAGAAGCTACTAGGGGCTCCTGGCATCGCTACTAGGAGCAAGGACGCTACTAGGGGCTCCTGGCCGTACTACTAGGAACAAGAAGCTTCTAAGTTGGAGGCCATCGCCATTAGGTTGGAGGCCATTGCTATTTGAGTCCGGAGCGCAACGGCAGCTCCAGTGGATGAGCCGGATTCTGGCTTTGATATTGAGAGCACCTGGTGCGACTCATCTGGCCCTAGCTCCCAGTATGATACAGATTGCTTCACTTATTTATTTTTTGAGCCCGAGGCCCTGCCTCCCTACTTAATTAAGTAGGGAGCAGCAAGCTACTAGGCTAGGTGAGCTTCTAGGTAGGACCCAGGATAGCGCACGCTTCTAATGATTTGGTTCTTGATGTTTAGGGAAACTTAACTAGGATGCTTGTGCGCAGGTCTGGATGCATAACTTAGTTATCGTTTATCTCTTTCTCACAGGTCTGTCAATAGCCTGAGTCTTTCCGCTGACCTCGCTGCAAAGGAGCATGCCCTGAGTGGGTGGTTTATGGTGGTGTCAAGCTCGGAGGTTTCAGAAGCAAGTTAGAAGTAGCAAGAAGAGTTTTGATTCGAGAAGAAACTCTTCTGAAATCTTCTGAAGAGGTTGTTTGGAAGAGTGTTTGGCTTTTTCACACAAAGTTTCGGAGTTGTCTAGAAGCAGAGAAGCATTAGCGAGTGACCGAGGCAAGGCCAGGTGAGTCTTTTTTCCGTTTCAGAGGCACAGCAGGACAGAGTTTCCGTATTGCCAAATGGCGATAAGAATTGCAATATATATATATATTGGTCTTATCCTTGCTTCAGAGCATTCTTGGAGCATTTTTTGCAAGAAGACCTTCAAGGCTCGGCACACAAGGTCACACCGGTTGGAAAGCATTAGTTCGCATGTCAAATTCTCCCCTCGTTGAGTTGGAACGGTTTAAGTGTGCTACGCCATGTAATGGCGGTTGGATCTTGGAGGATTTGCACATGCGTCTGCCTGTTCCCATGACCTTTTGTGAAAAGAAAGAATATGTCACTTCACGAAACACATCTCGAACTCTCGCAAACTCTCGCCCAAATGCTGCTATTGAGCCTTGAATTGAAGGCTGTTCTGTATACAACTCCTTTCATGGACCTTTACAGTAGTTAGTGCGAAAGCGAATGGCTAAGCAAGTCTTCTGAGAATCTAACGAGATGATAGACCTTCAGGTAGACATCCAAGGGCTGCTGTAATTTCTCAACCAGCACACATCAGCACACTGAACGCAAGAAGTGACTGCATATTCAGTCGCATGGACTTCCCTCTGAATGATGAGCTGTATTGGGAAGCTTTGAGAAAGGGACAGAGCTTTTGTCTCGCTCACAAACATGGATCCACCTGAAGCCATTCCTGCGATCTTCCAATGAATCGGCTTGGCCCACACTACACTACCATGTCCGGCTTGCAACCATATTAAGCAGCATGCGGAGGATGCACAGAGCACTTCGCAGCACTTCCGGAATGCTTGGAATACGAACAGTGCCATCTGGAAGTGAGTCCTTGTGTAGTTTGTTCGTCCTGGTGCAGGAAACGAAAGTTTATCGTCCATCTCAAGGCACGCGTAGATGGCTTCAAAAGTTGGATGCAAAGCTCAGAATCTGTGAGCCTGCAGAAGCCGTGAAAGTCAGGACAAAAAGGGAGGATGACAAGCCTTGGAGGCCATAGCTTTTAGGTTGGAGACCATCGACCAGACTTAGACTTGGCCAAAGACTCTCTTATCTTTGACGAGTGCACACACACTGATTGCTTCTTTAATTCGAGCCTGCAAAGTGACCTTGATGATGCATTCCCCCAAAACAATAGGAAGCGTTTTGAACATGCCAAGGGTTCTTCTACTACAGTAGCAGCCTCCTGGCATTGCTACTACGACAGCCTCTACTTCCAAACTCCCCCAACCTCAAAAGGAATAATCTGTTTAATAAATGAGTTTTTTTTTGGTATAATGTGTTGCATTATAGTCTAATACAACATATTGTAGTACAACATCATATCTTCTAGTACAGACAAAAGTGTAATCAGATACTTCAAGAACCCTAAAGTTTACGCTTCTTACTCTGTTCCAACATGACACTTGCGGTCTACAGCGGATCGGATTAACACGTCAATTTTGCGCGGCAGGTACAGCACGGTCAGATTTCCACACCCGTTTAAGTTTAACATATTTATAAGGCTTTCAGGTGTGGAAATCTGACCGCAACTGAGGTGTCGACATGTTGCACGTAGGATTCTAAGGGGAAAGGGTTTGTGATGTTTTAGAAGTCAAGAAGCGCAACTTGTGGCACCCCAGTGTATGTTCTATTTGTATTTTTATATGTATGCAGCAATGCACAAAGCCTGTCGAAGTCCGGCAAAGTGTCCGGCATATCTCCCTGCAAAGTGTCCCGAGCGCACAGGTGGGCCTTGTAGCTGTCATTGCTGAAGTGGCTGAAGTGTTTGGTTTGCTGAGTCTTCATGACAAACTTGCAATGACTTGTGTTGAATGAAAATAACTGATCCCTTGAATTGGTCAAGGACGTGCAGTGTCATCAAACACGTCTTCTCTCCAGCCAAGCTGCCCCCAAAGGCGCGTGCAGGCACCAGTAGAACGCCACATGCCAATATGAAAGCGTTGGCCACAGGTACCATCAGTGCTTTTCGCATGTCTACAGTAATAGGGAAGCAAGACTTCCCGGAAAAAAGATGTAATATATATATATAGAGAGAGAGAGAATCGATGCAATGTATATATCTGTTGACTTGCTACTTGGTCAACCTACTAAAGCACTTGGACTCTTCTGAACAATGGTGTGCGGTCCCAGGTGCACTGGTCATCACTTGAGAATCCAGCAATCTTGCATGGTATCTGTGCGTGCCTTACGTAATTACATTATGTTGAGTGCGTTCTTCTGATATGTTTGACATTGTTTGAAGCTCAAAATATCTCAGTCAGAATGTCCATGCAAAGTATGCCCTAACCAAACAAAACAAACAGGCAACATCAGTCCTCCCAGCCTGGAATCAGGTTGTGCTCATTGCGTGCCATGCATGTCTGCGAAACCTTGCAGTCCTGCAAGAACAAGAACAAGCTTCCACAAAGCTTCAGCAATCCGAGGTGGAAGTTGTTTCTCATTCTTGAGTTGCCAAGGAACAGCCGGTCGTAGGCAACAAGGGCAGTGCCGTTCAGGACCTGTGTCCATTCTCAAATGCTTTTTATGAAATCCTGCCTCACAGGCTGTTTTCTTGAGCTATCATCCCAGCGATCCAATCTCAAGAACTCGCCTAGCAATGGCCGCATTATGGCCGGAAGTGCCTCACTTGTGAACATTTCCGCTTCCAAGTGGGAGTCAGTGCATCCAGGAAGTGGACAAGGTGTGGACAAAGCTCCGTTTCCTCGGGTGGACCTGGAAAAGGGACTCCATACATTGATTCTCACGCAGATCCGACCACACAGTTCTGCAAACGTCAAGCACATCGATCGAATGACTTCAGGTCAAGCCCATCAGCTTTGACAGCAACATGCCCACGACGGCAAAAAGAGACATTCATGGACACCGGACACCCCTACATGAGGCATGTGTGAGGCATGTGTTTGAAAGAAAACATTGATCCTTTTTCGCAGTCCATAGGATTTGATCATCCCCAGCTGTGGGAGTGGAATCGATTCAGTGAAACTCTATCACACGACACTCATTTCTACAGAACCACTTCGATCCTGAAAGTGAGATGTCAGGGAAAATGTGCTCCGTAACCGGATGGCCAATTGAATGACTTATTTGATCTGTCGTTCAAGCCGATTCTGACATCACAGCTGCAAGAATTGAAATCGCGTCACAATCGCCACAAATGCGAGTTGTGAGAACGAGATCCAATGGAAGCTCATGGGAGCGCAGCAGTGCACATCATGTGCTGTTGGGTTGGAGGCCATCACTGGTAGGTTGGAGGCCATTGCTATTAGGTTAGAGGCCATCGCAGCAATGCAGAGCAATGAGAAATCGCTACTTGGACTCCTGAAGTGATCGACCATCTCGAAAAAGGCCTGCGCGATGAGACCGTCACATGCTGTTGCTAGTGTTCGCATCTCCATGCAGTTGAATGGCATAAAGGGTATCTAATACGTTATATAGATATGACACCATCCAAGACCTACTGTAATCCTCTTTGTTCACTTCGGCAGAAGTATTCTAATCTAGCGAACCTTTTGTCTCGAGGCCCACCTTGCACTGGGCCTGTCTCTTCCTCTTGCAATGCGGCGAAATCATTGAAGATCTGCTCCAAGCTGGCCCTTGTAGGGTGATTTGCGCTCAAAGAAAGCTTGTTGTCTACAGCACTGGCATCATCATATGATGCATTGCCCACCAAAATCAGGCCCATGGCCGAAAACAAATTGCACAATGTTGGATCTGACCCACAATCATATTATCATATTTAGTGTCATCTCAATCATCTCATGCATCTAACCAGTCCCACAAACTCAAAGACAAGTGTCTGGCAAACACCATACTCGTCCAGATGCAACTCATTTCGCGACTCTTCCAAAACTCTGAAGACCTGTGACGGCACAAAAACATTAAACGTTCCAAGCATTTGGAAGAATGTTCGGTCGTGTGTCGCCACCCCTGCTCGCCAGCATTCATCAATAAGAAGAATTACCAAGACAATCCATGACAATCCTAAAGTACGAAGCCAGAAACAAAAACATGGTTGACCATATCCACATCTGTCTTGCTTAAAACGCCTCGCCAAGTGGGCAGCGCTGAGGAAGTCGAAAGCGAAAGTTGTGCTCGTGCCTGCAAAAGGGCGTGCAACATGCGAAAGGGACCCTACTAGTAGCAAAGGGCATCTCTAATAGGAGCAAGGACGCTGCTAGTAGCACCTGGCCATACTACTAGTAACAAGAAGCTACTAGTACCAAGGGCATGGCTACTAGGAGCAAGGACGCTACTAGTTGTTATGCACGTGCCAAATGAGCTTCATCGGCTTCACCTGTTCAAGTGGTGGTAGCTGCATGTGACAGATTGTCAAAGGCCTCTCCAACTGCGCTGTGCCCGGGAAGTGTTGCTCCAAAAAGCACGAAAGCCGGTTTGCACGATCTTCAAAGAGCCACCACTGGGCAAAGATTGAAGCCGAGATACATCCTGTGATTGGTGGGAGCAGAAGCGTCTTTCGCTGAAGGATTTCGATTGAGGACTTTCAAGGTCGTGGACATGAGGACAAAGGGACTGTCAGTCGGAACATTAGTCTCGAAGTTTTTCCCGCTACTTTAGATGTTAAACCTTTCTCTTCATCCCATGCCACAATTCTCCTGTTCTGCACTCGATGGAATCCTGTCATGTGTCCAGCAAAATGAGAGGTCACATGATGCAGAGTCCTTCACGAGCAAGAGCTTCGAAGACCTTGTGTGAAGAATCCGGGCCCAAGTTGAGGCGTTTGAAAAGAAACGCATCTGCCATCCAGTCCAGTCACGGAATACACGATACTCTCCTGTTGGATGCAAGCATCTTCAAAAACTTCAGGAGCGAGGTGCAAGAAACCCTTCTTCACAGCCTTCATGAATCAGAGAAGCACGGCCTGAAAGGTGCATCAACCAACTCGCCAATGGGGCATGTGCGAGGTGGGGATCGTGCCACATAAAGCCTTGCGTACAGTCAAGACCGCGGTGGGATGCTTGTGGATCTAAGCTAGTTCTACCCGCTTGCTTTACTGGATAAAATGGTTGGCTATGTCCCTTCCAACCTGGCTGGCCCAGCGCAGCACAAGCACGCTTCACTTCAACTGCGTCCAGCAACGATGGAAGCCTCAAGTCAGCTTTGGTCATGACTGTGTTTCACGGGTCGGAGGCCATCACTAGTCTTAGTAGGTTGGAGGTCATCACTATTAGGTTGGAGGCCATCGCCACTAGTAGCAAGAACTAGTAGTAACAAGAAGCTATTAGGATTTAGCTGTATTTCACCATATTTCACCCGATTTCGCATTGGTGCGATACTTCGAACCGAACCGCAGTATGCTCCCATAAGGCCCTGATTGGTGAACGATGCTGAGCTGCTGGTGTTTCTGAAGGAAATCCTTCGCTTCTGGTGCGTGCAAGCGCACCTCCGCAGAAACATGCTCAACGAAAAATGTGTTTCACTCTTTGGAAGTCTAACCCGGATGAAAGTTATTAAGCTGCTGCTTAAGTAGCTACTATATTGTATCTTCAACACCTGAAGGTCGGGGGGACTTTCCTTGAAGAAGTCCTTGAACTATTCACTTTGATCCTAGATGTTTCGGGAAACAATTTTGGCGCACAAACTGCACACTTGCAGGTCTGCATGTTTGTCTGGATGCACGAGCCTCTGCATATGGGTAAGTAATGGTAAGTACATGCATAGCTATAGTCGAGGTTTTAGCTAGAGGTTTGCTAGTCAGCAAGAATGAATGTAACAAGAACACATTGGCAAATTTTTTGCAAGATTTTACATTCTCAGGCCTCGAGCTGATACCCTTGGCCAAAGCGTGCTTTTAGGCGCTGGTTGCTGCCGAAGCAGCGTAACCTGCCGCCAACCTCGGGGAAACTGTTATATACATCGCCTTGATAGGATGGGATTTTGAGGGCCATGTCATTATTGTCGTTGAATGACTTCAATCCCAAATTATCCCAAATTGCGAGATCTATGGCTTCAGTGACAGCTCTCATCTCTGCAGCATCTGTCCGACTCGTTGAAATATGATGCTGCCAACACGCTGGTGCCAATTAAAGGACCAGACTTTTTACCACCATGTGGGCCCCATATGTCAGCTTTTCTGCTTCTAACAAGTGCATGCAAAAGCGCGTCGAAGAGGAGATTGAGTGACTGACTGACTGACTGAGCGAGTGAATGGGTGAGTGACTGAGTGACCGAGTGACTCCAAGAGTGAGTGCGAGTGGGTGGCGCGGAGCGGGACGCAGATACAAGTAGGAAGCCCACAGAAAGATGAGAAGAAAACAATAGAATGTGCCCAACATACCGTCACCTACATTGCGCGTGACTATTGAGGGTTTAATAGCAAGATGGAAACATTGTCTGCCCCACCCTAACTCTGGAGTGGGTGCGTAGTCGAAGCCAAAGGTCTTGTCAGGGTGCAAGACCAAAGGCTGTACACGTATGAGATGCGAATTTGCAAACAAGCAACACTTTACCCCACACCTGGCGAGGGCCGGAAACACGTCCGGATCCAACGAGCCAAGAAAGCCTCGACACTGGTGGTCGTAATGCCAAGCACTCAGTGCATCTTGTACACGAAAAAGGAAGCCTCCCTGTAGGATTAGCTGAAGGCAGAAGCCAAAACCAAGGCCAAAATGTAAAATCCCGCAGTGGTCGGTGCGAAGGAGAAAAGCACATCCCTCTCAGAAGCGCCTGCTCCAATCTAAAGGGACTCGAACCACAAAGCGCTGCCAATCCAACTTGAAGAGAAATCGAACCTCAGGCGATTTGTAATACAGAGGTATTGCCGGGCAAGCCGCAAGGGCCAGCGCGCAGTGAAGTTGGCGGAACCACCATTTTCGTTGCGCCACAGTCCGGTCCGGTCCGACCTGAAGGGGAAACAACCCCAGGCAAATGTTAGCGCCAGCTCTCACGCAGAATCGAACACACAAACAACTCGAACATCGCGCCACGCACGGTAAAGGTAGCGCCGTCCGCAGCCACCCAGAACATGGCGCCGCGGAAACCTGAAAGAACAGCCACAGGGGAAAACGCGCCACTGGCTCTGGAGCCACTTGAGCGAAAATGGCTTGAGCCTTTCGTGGGAAGTGAGTTCAATGTCACGCAACTCTCCAATCTGCTCTGCTTTGATCTCTGCGAGCCTTTGGGGCGAGGTGTCTGAATGCATTCATGGGTTGTTAAAGTGTGCTGTTCCCAGCTGCTAGGTCTCACCGAAAGGGGAAATGCAAAAGAGCAGCGCAGCATGCTGAAGCCCCATCCAAACTTCTCGAAGGCCGTCACCGACTGGCAGCATTACGCGCTTTACATTTAGGTCTTCTGGAAGTCGTGTGAGCAAGGAATCCGCTGGGGTCTCCTGCAAGTAACTTTCTAAAGTTGTTTTTGAAGTCAGCCGCATAATCCATAAAATATCTTGAATGGGTCTATTGCGCTTGTAGGCCAAAATGGCGCCGCCGCCTCCCTGACTCCAGCTGGAGTGGATTTTGTCCCATCTACTCCGAAAAGCAGATGCTGAAAGGGAAAAGCTGTACTCCAGCATCCAAGTGCTCAAAATGACGTTCATTCAACGCAGCTTCACCTTCTACTGTTAGGTTTTCAAGAAAGCTATACGGAGCGTGTCATCAAAGGAGTCGCTAGGTAGAACTAAGTCCCCTCGGGCAGCCGACAGGACTTCTGCTATTCGGGGGATGCCTTCATAGGCTAAAAGTAGGGCGGCGGCCCACCGAGTCCATTTCCATAAGACGGCTATGGCAAACATTGCTTTGAAGAGGCTCTGGCAGCGGCTGTCTATGCGAAGGCTTCAGCGGCTGGCGCAATTCCCATCTTGTCACTATAACTGCCAGCACGGGGCGATGACCATGCGAATCCGAGGAAACTCTTGCTGCACCAGAACTAGGAGGTGTCTCAGCTCGTACAGCTTAGCTCCTGAGCTAAACAAGTGCATAGCGTAGCGCTCCAGAATCTTGACAGCTAACCGCTCTTGAAAACGAACCCACACCCTATTCTGAAGTGGAGAAGTATAAGTCTTCTAACAGGCGCACATCTAGCAGTTCCTGGGCATTGCGAGTCTGAGGCCGGTGCCTGCCCGGCCCTCAATGTCAAGCTTCTCCGATTCGCTCGGAGCTGCAACGCGTGCAAGCTCCAATTTTCAGCTTCCACTTCCAAATCACCTTTGGGAGTGAGTCCTGAATGAACTGCTGAGGCAGGAGCAATGTCATAGCACAAGTTCTGTGGATACACCTGGGCCACCCGCGTCCAGGAACTCTTCATGGCTGTGCACCTACCTCGTAGAGGAACATGACTATGGCCTCCAGCACATAGCTCACGCAACCCGCCAAGAGCAGTGTTTGTGGCTATCCTTGTCCTCTTTCGCCATCTAGCACCATATCTGCCCACGCCAAAACTGTAGCTACAGTCCCAACGGCCTAAGCCCGTTTCCAAAAAAGGTCATAGCGGCCAACAAACGGTTCCAGGTTCTTTGAGCAAGACAATGTCGACGAAGTTCACAAGCGAAGTCTTGTTTCACCTGCGTCTTGACAGCCGCAGCATAGCTTTCAGAGGCGTCCGACAGGAAAAGTAGTGGCTTTGAGGTTGTGGCTGCAGGCGGTTCCCAGAAACACAGACTGAACCCACAGCTCGTCAAAGAGAGGGGCAGCGAGGGCTATCACATTGGTTCTCTGCCGTCCTTGTTGGACTTTGTGCATCTCCTGCAGGAGGCACATCAGAATCATTCTGCGCCTGAACTGCCAGTTGAGCAACCCTCATCGTCAGCTGCAGCAGCGGCACCAACCTGCGTGCGGCGGGTCTGCAAATCCCGGTCACACCATTGATCTCCGCTCCCCAGATTGTCGCGGTCTTCTCTCCTTTGAAAGTCTTTTTGGATGACAAAGCCTCAAGTCCCCGCTGTACGTATACTCTTCACACAAAGCCTCAAGTTGCGCACTCCTTCCGTCTGACAGGACGTCATCAATCACTGCCCCACAGGCCGTCTCGCCACGAGGAGCGCGGCCATGAATGGTGAGGAGCTCTGAGGAAGGAAAAGTTGGCTGGCAAGACCTATCTGCATGTGCGCTTTCTGACCTATCTCTACAGCATTGTTGTCTCCCATCGCCATTGCGTCGACAGGCATGGGTAAAGAACTTTGGCTGACTTTATGCGCTCCTGAGTACGCGCGCAAGTGTTGAACCTGAGACGGCACCAAAGGTAGACGGAATGCGTTTCTCAAAGCTCCCTTCCGACTGACTCGAAAACAATAGTAATAGTCCTTGAGGTTGGTCCCAGAAAAAGAAGTTCTTGTCCTGCAGGTATAGCTCTATCCGATCGGCTGGATGGCTCCTAAGGTTTGAACCCAATCTGTCAAAGTGTCCCCCAGATCGTTCGGAGGTCTCGCATCTAGGATGAGGCGGTCGAAATCTGCATCTTTCGTCAAAGCAAAAGCCCCACACAAATGGGAAAGGCGTACTTCTTCTTTTTCAGCCAAACGCAAAAGGTGGTGCTGATCCAGCTTCTCTACAAAAGCCATGGCCTCTCCTCGGCAAGTCGGCAAGCATGGCCTCTGACGCGAGGGGCTTGCCGGGCTTCATCTGGATGCTGAGCTTTGCTCACAGGGTCCTTCATAGACCGTTCGATGAGGCTCCGCGAGCATGGCTATTCTCGATGCTTTCAACTCTTTGGCTTCGTGCGCTAGTCACCCACATGCAACCTAGAGGCCTGATCTTACAAGGACAGTATATAAAAGAGTGTCCAAGCTCTCGATTTGGGCGGCTGTCCTGCCCATCTCCGCAGGACAGATGTTTCCATCAAAGCTCGCCTCCCTAAAAAGGACCTCGATCTTGCTCGCCGTTAGTTTCTGCTTGGCTGTCAGTTGCTTCCCTAAGCGCATCTCAGGGGGTGCACAGCGCGGCCGACGCACACGCAACCAGGACAGCATCAGAATAGCGAGGTTGACGGCTTGTTGCGGAGCCAGCTGGCCTCCTTGTTGAGGGAGGATCATCGAGGGTAGGGTGGCGGCATTGGCCACACACTGAGAGCTGTGCCCTCATCTGCTGAAGGCTGAGGCTTTGGCAGCGGAAAAAAGTGGCGAAAGTCCAGCATCCACCGTGTCATGGCTGTTCACATCTTCAAGATGTTGGAACTAGGCGCCGATGATCCAGGCACCTTTGCAGTCGCTCTGTTTGAAGGAGGCTCAGACGACAATCCACGCCGGCGACTGTTGTGAGTCTCCCCATACACACTCTCTAATTCCGGCAAAGGGCTTGTCGTCCTCCTTGCTTTTCTCCTTGCCTTTGCCCTTCTTCTTCGAGGCGGGCTTTGGCCCTGCAGTGGAACGCTGCTGCGTGGGCCCGTCCTTCTGCGGAGGCTGGAGCTTGTTCCGCTTCTCGTGATGATAGTCCGCAAGGTCTGCTCAGGATCAGGTCGACCCATCTTCCGTTGATCAAGCGGGTGTGCTGAGTCTCCCACATTTTCGGAGGGTTGTGCCGGCTGAGGAGGAGGCTCCTCCAGCATCAACTCCGAAGCCACCATGCAGGAAAGAGGTCACAAGCATGCTGACCCACCATGGCTACTCCAAGTCCTGCTCGAGCTCTTGCTTCTTCGTAGCGGCCCACTCTGAGGCAATCCCACGCAGATGCCGGCCAAGACCCACCCGAATGTGACCGATGTCTGATATCCTTGAACTCGGCTCCAGCGCTCGAGCCATCCTCGGGCCGAGGAGTCGAGGAGAGCGTCCAGGCTTCTGTTCTTCTTCTCCTTCTTTTGATCTTGCATGTTCTTCACCAGCTTTGTGAGATGGACCACAGCAGTCCCGACCAGGTCGCCCGATCCAGCAGCGTCTCCGCCAGCCTCTGGCTCTTCTTCTTCGGCGGTGCAGGCGATGGCATTGGGAATAATAACTCCTGCTTGCAGAGCCTGATGAACAGCTTGCGGATCCAATCCTGAAGGAGGAGTGTAGTGTTCTCCCTCCGGCGCTGACTTTTTGCTTCCGGTGGGTGGACACACGGCTTTGGATGCTTTCGCTTTGGGTTTGCTTCCTGTCTGCTCGACAAGCTGGCCTACTAGCTTGTTCATATAACCTGCACTGAATTTTCCAGATTTGCAAGGCGCAGCCCCGCCTCCTTCGACTCTCTGCGCTCAGGAAAGTGAAATGGTCTCGGGCTACAGCAACTAGAGAACGGGCGCAAGGAAGTCGAGGCAGACCTTGTGGAAGCTGATAGACGGCTCCACTTCTCCTCCGAAAACACCCATTGTCGAACTCTTCCGCTAGCAGGCCAAGCCAGAACTCGTAGATCTGGTTCTCCAAAAAGCTGCAACCGGTCCTCTTCGAAACATGATTGCAGGTCTAATTTACTCTGACAGCCTTCCGCAACGTCCCGCCGGTAGCGGTCGGTCTTTCTTGAGGCGGCTCCAAGCTGCGTCAGGAACAACTACCAAAACTTTGTCGTCAACAAGTGCGACGGCTATGATACTAGTGGAAATGACACTCTGAAATCTTCAGCCAGTATCTCCAGAGAGCACAAAATTGTCTCGGAGTGAAAGGAGCTCTGGATACTCCTCGTCACGCGGCGTCTCTTCAGCGTCAGCCATCACTGCTGCTCAAGAGCGGCTGGGAGCGTCAACTGCGGACCTTGGCCTGAGAATCCCCACAAACAGGCCGCCGCCACACTGTCCTCGGTGTTGGCAGTGGGCCTTTGCCTCAGCCCAAGTCCGAAAGAGCAAGGGGGGATCGTGAACACGACCCGACAGGTCGCGAACGATCAGCACTGGTTGCTGTGGAGGAGCTTTTTACGACCGGACAGCCCTCGATACTCACCTCGCAGCCCGCGGAATCCAGCGGCCGAACTCCTCAGGAGCATTGTGCCCGGAAGGCTGGCAGGCCGCTATCGCCCACCACGCTGGAAGAGAGAGGGGGAGTAGTGGGAACCCGCTCGGCGGCTCTGCAAACGACCTACCAAAGAAGCCCAAGTAGAGACTGAGGACTGAGGGGGAACTGCTCATACGATCCGATACTTTCCTTCCAGCGTGCGCCTATAGCCAAAGAAGCCAGGCGGTCTCGCACCCACAGCGCCAGCTCTGTCGAGCAATGTTCAGCAAATCCAGGAACGGCCCCAGGCTCAAGCCAATGAGGATGCCCACACCGAGGGAGAAAGGATCAAGAGAATGAGGAAGTTCAGGGCAAAGAGGACAGTCCAAAGGAAAAGGGAGTGCAGCTGAAGAGGTCCCAGAAAGGTCAGCAAAAAGCCGCAATGCGATGGCACCGAAAGTCCCACCAGTCGCCCCTATCATCAGGCTCCTGTCCATCTATTACCTTGACCCGAAAAGCTCAAGATTGTAGGTTTGCATGTGAGGTCATTCATGGGAAGCACACCCTGAACAAATGCACAATATCAAAGAAGGTTTAGAGAAACTTCCCCACGCAGCAAATCCACACATTGTGCTGCATGATCTGCATGTTCTCTTCTCACAACTCATCTCTTCTCACTTCATCTTTGCCCCCGTTGCCATCGCTATTAGGATGGAGGCCATTGCAACTAGGGTGGAGGCCATTGCTATTAGGGTGGAGGCCATCGGTGGAGGCCATCGCTACTAGGAACTCATCTCTTCTCACTAATCTTTCCCTCCTTTCACCTCGCTCTTTGCTCGAGCTTCCGGACCATGATGCCGATGCGCGAGCACAGTGCCTCGGCTTCCTCCATATTGTGGGTGGTGAGGATCACCTGCCACACTTAAAGAGTAAAACTCACAACAAAGACGTATATAATACAATAATCCGCCGACCCCGGCTAATAGAGTTGAACTTTCACAAAACCCCAGCTCAACTCTCTTGCCCTCGTTTTTCGCAGTAAATCTTGTAATGCGCGACCAATTTTGAAGCTGATTGTATTTTAAGTAAAACAGTACACCCATTGAATCATCTAGCTTGGGGCCACGACGGTGCTCTCCCTTCGTAGTGTTGACACAGAGGAGATCACGTGCCTGATTGGAGCATTGTGGGTGTGTATCAATCAAAACAATACTGATTGCTACTGGACATGAACGTGTCAACTCTCCCACTGACTACCAGGGTTCCTGCATACGGTCTGGGCAGGATGTGGGGTGCAATATCCATCTGGTTCTGGTCAAAAAGCCTCAAATTCAACGAAGGTGCCTTTGGGTATTATTTACTTCTGAGGATGCATGAGGGCTCCCAGGCCTATAGCAGAAACTCAGTAACGCCACAACTTTGGCGGACCCCTCAACCTACAAACCCTCTGCATTCTAAGTGAAAAAGAAGTGAAACCATAGCGACGTGATCTGGCGATGCACCTTCCAAGCCCTCCGGCGTCTCAGATTTGTCTCATGGGAACCGGCAACGACTCAACCAGCATTCACAAGGGAAATGAAGAACACACCATATGGACACATGAAACCCTGGGAGCGCCATTGCAGGAGTCCATCGTTTTGGATCATTGTATAATAAGTACCATGCATGTTTCGTTTGAGGCTGCCGGTACTTATATAGCTGCTCTGCACAAGAAGGGGGTTAACGTGAAAGGGAAAGCCAGAGCGGTGTGACTGCGCAAATGCACAGTATGCTTTCACCAATGGTCTATCCATTCAGTTCACCTCTGGGAAAGTGGTAAGGTATTCTCGTTGGTGACGTGGTATGGCTCTGCCACTGGTGATGTCGTAGGTGTTCAAGATTGGTGAGGTGGTACCGGTACATAGTGCAATGGGCTGCGTCTTCACCTCTGGCGAAGCAATATGCTTTGCTGCTGGTCAACGTGCGCCACTTTGCGGGTTGTAAACAGGCACCACCAGCACCACCTGACCGGCGGTCAAAGCCTAGAATTGCGATGCCACTAGGAGTAACAACCGCCACTTCAGCGAAAAGGACCAAGAGTTGCTGCACAAAGTTGGGCTAGAGTCTAGAGTAGCACGGATCAAGTCTTCCGCCGGCCACAATCATTGTGTCCTCCCTTCAGAAGGGTCAAGCTTCTTGCTCCCATAGCCATGCTATAAATTTCCATTCCTCTTTTGGGCACGGTCAAGTAGCAGGTCCTTCTTTGGCAATCGCAGAAGTTCGATCCCCATTGAGAAGAGTAGTAGGGAGACGACAAAACAAGGAAAAAAGTGTAGAATGCGCTCAATTGGCTTGAAACGCATCAGCGACACCAGGGGTCTAGAGAAAGAGCTTTGGAAAGTGAAACAGCGCTGATGATGCGAACGATGTCCCTCGCACTCCCGAATACTTCCGAAAGGGTCTTTGAGCCATGCACACCTCTAGTGACTGTTGCTGCAACAACACTTGAATGATCTTACGGTGGAGGCCATCGCTCTTAGAAGGTGGTTCCTTCTCGATGCCTCTGAACCTCTGATTTCTGCCAAGGTGCCACATCAATCGCCGTGCTGCGGGGTCAACTCCCGTGCTCGGCTCATCCAAAAGAACAAGTGGTGGAGAGCCCATGAGGGCAATTGCCAGCGAGAGTTTACCTCACAAGCAGGACGGAAAAATGCCAAGAAATTTGAGAAAGGAAAAATCCAAGTTCTTCTGCATTCTCGGCTTCATTTGGATGTTTACATCAGACCTGATCATGGAATTTACAGGACAAAGGGATCGTTGGATATTTGATTGCCTTGCCTCGGCCTCACATGAACAGAGAATTTAGGCTCTTAAACTCAGTGACTTAGGGTCACAGTCCCAAAGGTTGTAGCTGAAGCTTAGGCACACTTTTAGCTCAAACACGCGTGAGCTCTGGTATCGAAATGAACACAAAAGTAAACCACAAACGGCTGCAGTGAAACATACATCTATACAAGCTATGTCATGTACATGTAACTGGTGCTACATCTGATCACGCCTCCCGAGTTTAACATCTCCTAGAAGTTAAGCGAGTCAGGATTAGCACTTCGGTGAATTAGCTCGTAGCCCTTCAGTACATCTTGGTCTTGAAGAAGTACCTACTTTAGCTCAAGCCGTTCAAGCTTTCAAAGTCAGTTCATGTTCACCTTCCAGGTAGTGGAAGTTCATGCCTTTCATGGCTGTAGTCATTTTCTCTTCAGTGACAGCTTTCGTTAGCACGTCGGCCAACATTCGGTCGGTGCCTTCTTTCTTGAGACGAAACTCTTTCTTTGCTGTACGCTCTTGTACCCAGTGGTACTGAGTGTCAACATGTTTAGCTCGTCCCAAACCTCGACGGTTTCCCATGGCGATGCCAGCGGAAGCGTCCATTGTCACCTCTTTGCTGGGAAACAATCCCCAGTCTCTTGCGGTTGATGCGATTCCAAGCATTTGACATGCTCCAGAAACAAGTCCATAGTACTCGGATTCGCCACTGCTCAGGGAGACAACTCCTTGGCCTTTGCTGTATGTTGTAAGACAGCATTTGTTGGCCATGAGCACGCCTCCTGACACACTCTTTCGTGTCCTTATGCAACCTGCATGGTCGGCGTCTGACCACATGTTGAAGGGGTTGCAGGTGCTTTGGTTTGGAAACAACTGCGCAACTCTTGGTCGATACCTGACATATCGAGCCAATCGTTTCAGCATATTCCAGTGCCTCGATGTTGGGTTCTGTAGACCTTGTGCCAATGAGCGCGTTGCAGTTTGCAGATCAGGTCGATCCTGTGCCAAATACGCGGCTCTCATAGCAATAGATCTATACATCGTTGCATCTTCGGCACTCAGCGGAACTTCTTCATGTTGGAGTTCCTCTTGACTTGGCTTGGCCAAAGGTGTTTTGACCTTGCCTGGTTGACCAGTGCCTAACCACTTGATGATCAACTCTGCATGTCTTGGATCTGGTTCCCACCAAATGCCTTCATTTGACCAGGTGATGATGCGATTCAGCACTCTGATCTGTTGGCTTGCCTTTGGTGAACCTGGTGGACCGAGAATGCCTCGTTCCACAACTTGCCATTCTTTGGCTGCTGAAGTGTGAAACCATTTGATGTCATCAAAACTTCCAACTGTCGTGAAATCGTCTCCATGCACTTCTGTTCGAAGTTCTCTGGATGCATGGTAGTAGATGCATGGGTTGGACTTGCCTTGAACAAATCCTAGCTTCTTCATAAACTCTGCAATGGTCAGCTCCCAATTCATGGGTGCGTCTCTGGTGCCGTAAAGGCTTCTGACCAATCTTCCTACCACATCTCCATCTTCTGGTTTCTTGCCTTCTGATGGAATTTCAACATAGAGTTCTCTTGTTGCTTTGGAGTAGAAATGAGCTCTCTTCACATCCAAAAATCCTAGGAAAGATTGCTTTGCTTTTCTTCTTTCGCCTTTCTCCAATGGAAGGCTGTCGCTGACTGCAATGGTTAGCAGTAGCTTCAAAGCTGCAAGGCTCGGCATGGCTGCGAAAAATTCGTCAAAACCTGAGCCTCTTTTGATCTCTTGCGCTACCAATCGACTTCTGTAGAGAGGATTGGTTTCATCTTGCTTGTTCACATCTACCCATCGAGTTCCAATGATTTTGGTTCCTTTTGGAACTTTGCTTCTTGGGATCTTCTCCCAGACTCCCATTGATTCGACAATGTCGATTTCATCTTTTCTGGCTTTCTCTACCTTCTCAGGTAGAAGCTCTTTTCCACTGATGTCGTCGTAGTACCACCAGTCTCTTGCCTCTTCTGCCATTTCTTCTGGCAGTGGGATCTTCTCTTCACACACTGGTTTCTCTGGGTCGATGCTAGATAGCACTCTCTCTCTGTCTTCTAGGATTAGGCTTTCTAGAGCCATCTCAATGCTCTGGATGTCTCTTGTTCTCTCGGCTTCATCTTCATGTTCGCCTTCTGCCTTTCTCTTCTTGTCTCTATCTACTCTGGCTTTTGCTGTGGGTGACCCTGCTGGTTCATGTTGTTCTTCGTGTTCTCTCTTTTCTCCATGTGGTTCAGGTTCGCGTGGTCTGCGAATACCTGATGCTGAAGCTGATGCTGTGCCTAGTGTTGGTGGTGCTGCTTCTGGTTCGTACCAAAGTTCTGTCACAATGTCCATCTTGTGTGGTAATGCTCCATTGAGTATCTCTGGTGGAAGGTCTGTTGTCATGACTCCACTCTCAATGATTGCATTGTTTGCATGGTTTCTTGTGACTCGGTGCCAGACGGTGGACCAATCAGGTCCTCCTGGCATGGTGGTTTGAAAACAGTAAGCTTCGACGTCAAGTCGTGCGAACACTCGACACGAATCGGGAACTCCCGATGGTCTTTTGCTTTCATATCCATGAAGGATTTGAGGTCTCTTGCCACTGACGGGTTGTGGCATGCCAGTGATTGCCTCTCCAACTCGGCTTTCATGTCTTGCTACTCTTGGGTTCTCTTCTTCTTCTCCTCTGATGCTCTCTTCAAGTCTGTCTCGACACCTGTTGGTGTGATGGATGCCTGTAGATCTCTTGCCAATCTGTGTGGCATCACAAGCTGGGCAACCTGCTGTATACCCAAACTTTTCCAGGTCTTTCTTGGTGATGTAAAGCCTTCTCAGCTTTCGTTTCTTGTCATCTATTGCCGGTGGTTGCACCAAAGCTTCACCACTTGGACTGGCAATGACTGGTTCCCTTGGGGCTGCAATCGCTGGTTCTTCGCGAATTGCTTGAGGATCCCAGGGAATTCCAGTGATCGATTTCAGCAACTCTGAATCATATCGATCTTCTTCTGGCTTTCTTCGAATGGATTGCACTGTGAAAACACCTGTGGAGTTTCCTACTATCTTCTCTGTGGTGGTGTCTTTCACTCCTAGAAAAATTCCTTTGGTCCATTGGGCCTCGAACTTGTGGCCTCTCTTGAGGTATTCGATGGCCTCACCAAATGGTGGAATTGCTACTTTCCATTCACGTCCACGAAGTCGTGAATACGGAGTCTTTCCGTCTTGAAGTTCGGTTGATCGGAAAAACAGATTGTAGACTGTGGATGCGTGTTCAACTAACCAAGTCAAAACAGGGGAATCGTCAGGAAGTTTCTCACCATAGTTTGACTCGATCGCGGCTCGAAGAGTCCTGGCTTGTCCTTCCAAGGTTTGAACTGCTCGTTCAATCTCTCCCTTGGATTCTTTGACTCCTTTCGGGCTCTTCTCGATGATCAGGGTTCCTTCAAACCCATTCTTTACTGCCTCAACAACAGAGGTGAGAGCAGGTTCAGGATCATGTCGAATGATCAGTTTGGAGTATCCTAATTTCTTGATGTCGTTCAAAAGTACTTTGGATCCATATGGACCTTTTGTCACACCTTTGTAGGGCAACACATGAGCAAAAAGATGCTTCGTCCATCGATCTCTGACAACAAGAATTGGTGCATGAGTCTTCTCGTCCAAAACTACATCATCAGTTCGTGAATTCATGAAACAGTAGTCTACAGTCACTACTGGGGTTGTCTCGTCGGTGTGGTCTATTTTCCTGTGGGGGTTTGCCTTTGCTTTTCCCCTTACACAGGCTTCACACCAAGACCTAAAAGGGAAGTGTGACACAACATGCTCTTCAAACTCTTTTCTCGTCGGGCGAGTGGGAGCATGGATTCGGAGCTCAGGCGGCACTTCGTCGCCTTGCTCGGCCTCTTCGGCCTGCTCCACCGGGCTTACCCATTGCGGTGCCGGACGAAAGGGTGGAATGCAAGCGGCACAGAACAGACGCCGTTGCTGAACGAGATCGGAATCTTAGTACCGTCTCGGGAGATCTGTCCACCAGATCCGTGCATCTGAATGCACCAGCCCTTGCTCATAAGGGCCCCCGCGGAGAGCAGCGGTTTTGCAACCGCCATCACCCGGAAACAGCAACGTCCATTGAGGGAGTTCTGGCCGATGCCGATGGTCACCATGGCATCGATCTTGCCAAGGTCCTTGACCACTTCGCCTGAGGCAGTCTTGTAGACTTTGCCGGTGCCTTCAGGCTGGATAGGCTTGTAGCCCAATGCGGTGGCCAGTTCAACAGGGATGCAGGAGGTCGCAGCTCCTGAATCCAAGGTCACCTGATGAGCCATTGGCGTCTCCATGGATGCCAGCTCCAAACTCTTGAGAGCTAGTGGATCGTCATCGCCTTCATCAGGCTCGCTTGAGGGAGTGGGATATCGTTTTCCCTTTCCCTTCTTGGCCTCACGGGCAGCATCTTGAGTGGCCACGTTGACAGCTCGAGTCAACTGCACTTTCCTCTGCTTGCCCTTTCCTTGGCCCTTCTCGGAGGCAGCCGGAGCCGAAGCGGCTCGGCTTTTGCCCGGGGATCGTGACCGGGACTTCAGCCGAAGCGTCTGCCTTGGCGCTTCGCTGGATTCCTCTGGCTTGGATCCTGGTCCACGGAATCGCTCTAGGTGCTCTTCAGTCGAGCTCTTGAACCAGGCCATGCGCTCCTCCTTGGTCTTGCCTTTCTTCTCAGGAGGTGGAGGTGTCTTGGCGATGCGCCTTTGCTTTGGCGTCTTTGGGCCAACCTCATCTTCCTCCTCCTGTTCTTCCATCATCTTCTGCATATGGGCTGTCATGTAGAAAGGTGGTCCTTTCTTGACGGTCTCAAGCTTTGGATCTTCCATCTTCAAATGCTTTGCCACATCTTCGGGCTTCAGATCCATGTCGGCATCTTTCACATGCTTCGGCGCATCTTTTGAAGTTGGGCTGCCTTGCTGTCCCTTGGCAGTCTTGATGCGCTTTCCCATCTCTTTCTGCTTGATCGTCCATTCCTTTGCCCACTGGTTGAGGACTTTTGGCGGGCAACAATTCAAAGCCATATGATGGTTCCATAGGCCGGTGTCATTGTCACACCTCAGGGCCTTGTTGCACGCACGGCAGACCATGTTCTTGCTGCCATCTCTGTTCTTGTGGGTGCATTTGGCTACCCATTCATCATAGCTGAGGATGCGCTCTTGGAACATGTGATCGAGCCATGGCACGGTATCTTTCTCCTTTTCTTCTTCTTGTCCATCTGACTCCTCGTCAGCTGGCTCAGTGCCATTCTCATCCTCTTCAACTTCACCTTCAAACTCTTCTTCCTCTTCGAGTCCCTCGATCTCAGTCACATCAAGGGGATTGATGTTCTCCATGACTGGAGCTGCGAAGGATGGTGCGCTTGTTGCTCCTTCGCCTTGGCTTTCGACGCGCTTCATCACAACATAGTCCTCTGGGTTGAACCCAGCTGCAGTGAGCGCCTTGTCGATGACACTGCGGGCTGGATGGCTAGTAGCCGTCCATGCCTGACTTTCCCGCTTCATCTCTGCCAACTCTTGAGTGGAGAGATCTTCGATCTTGGGCTCCTTCTCTTTTGGCTTTTCAGGCTTCTTTGCCTTTCCTGGCTTCTTGTAGCCACGATGCCTCTGGGCCTTTTCTCGACCTCGAGGCTGAGGGGCTTCATCAAACTTTCCCTCATCATCTTCATCATCCCAAGCTTGAAGTCGACCGGTACCCTTGGCACGAGCAATCTCATAGTAGTCGAGCTCCTCAGGGTAGTTGGCCTCATAGTCGCGCCAGGATTCAAAGCGATCCTGGGCCTTGTCAACGCGATGTTGCTCGGCGCGCTGACGGCTCTTCTCTTTCTTCTTGGCCAATCTTGGGTCCATGCCTGATGCCAAATCAGCTGAGAGCCTTGGCGACTCCGCCGGAACCGAAGCGGCTCGGCGAGGAGTTGGCCTCTTCAGCAAGATCTTGGCTTCTCTCTCCTTTTCTTCATACTGTTCTTTCAGCCTCTTCATCTCGGCCTGTTGTTCCAAGATGGCATCATTGGCTGCTTTGCCTTTGGCTTCGGCCTCTTCGATGGCCTTCTGGATTGTCTCAGACTTCTTCTCATACAGCTCGCGATTGGACTGCATGGTCTCTTGGATTGCTTGGTTCATGACTGCAATCCCAGCAGCTGCAATTCCAGGACGACCTTTTCCAGCTCCTGGCTTCTTTGGCATAGCCTTGACTTCAGTCTCAGCTTTTGCCTTGGCTGCTCCACGAGAAATTGCGGCAGGTGCTGCTTTCTCCATCTCGAAGGCAAAGAGGGTGGCGATGTCAGCGGAATACTCAGGCTCGGGTTGATGCTCTTGAGCCATAGAGGTTTCAGATCCCTCAACTGAAGCTACCTTCTTACTCTTACTCTTGCCTTTACCTTTAGAGTCTTTGCCTTTGCCACCTTTGCCTTTACCCTTGGAGTTTTGGTTGTACCAACTACTCTTGTTCCAATCATCCTTATACCAATCGTTCTTGTTCCATGAGTTGTTCCATGACGAGGGATTGGACCATGAAGAACCTTTTCCCTTCTGTTTACCTTTGTCGTTTCCCTTGCCTCCATCTTGACTCTTTCCTTTTCCTTTGCCGCCTTTTGAGCCACCTTTGCCTTTTCCTTTGGCTTTAGCCAGACTTGCAAGTGAAGCTTGCATCTGGCTGGCAGCTGCGGCTAGTGCATCAACATCCATTGGTGCTGATCCAGTCTTTGCTTCTTTTCGGCTCTCGATGTTCTCGAGGTAGGCCAAAATCTCTGACTTCATGATGGCATAGTCAGTGAGTCTCGAACTCTGGAGATCAAGGTGATCTTGAAGTTTGGCTGGACACATCTGCTGAAGACAACTTCTTGCGATGTCATCATCAAGAGCTTTCTTCTTCCGCTCTTCATACTTTCGCCTGATGTTTTCCCAGGCTTCTATGCTCTCTCTGAGCTTGTCCAATGCACACTGTTGTGGGTGCAGGACCTTCTTCAGCAAAGCTGAGTTTGCTTGTGGGTTCTGTGGATCATACTTAGTGATCAATCGTCTCAATGCCTCTAGGCCAAAGTGCTGACCTCTGGAGGTATTCTTGACAATCTCGAGGGCTTCTCCCTCACACAGTGAGATCAGAGCCTGTCGGGCCTGAGCTGAAACAAGCTCGGCTCCTTCAGGATAATCATCTTCCAGAGATGTCTCATTGATCTCTGTGTCTTGATGCTCTTCGAGGAGCTGAATGCACTTTCCTGCATTCTTGTGACTTGTCTCAATCCAAGTCTTGAACTTGAAGTACCATGAATCCCAGGTACCTGTGTGTCCACTGAACTTGTCAGGCTTTGGAATGCCTTTCAACTCGGATCTGTCTCTTACTTCTACGCTAGTGGCTATGTTCCTTGTGATTGCCGTTTGTTGTGTGTATGCTTCTGCCATTGCTCGTTGCAATTGGCTCTGCCCCTGTGCTAGGGCTTGCATCATCTGTGCAAATTGTTGTGCCATGTCTGTGGCCTGTGGTGCCTGTGCTCCTGGCTGTTGCGCCATGTTGACTTGCTAGCCAGGGATTGAAGCAATCCGGCTTTCCTGCAAGTGATGCTTGTTTTGTGGATCTCTGGTGCCAGAGCCGATGCGGCTCGGCAACCTTCGATTCGCAGACGGTAGCCGGGTCTTAGAACCGCGGCTCCGCTACCATGAACGGAGAATTTAGGCTCTTAAACTCAGTGACTTAGGGTCACAGTCCCAAAGGTTGTAGCTGAAGCTTAGGCACACTTTTAGCTCAAACACGCGTGAGCTCTGGTATCGAAATGAACACAAAAGTAAACCACAAACGGCTGCAGTGAAACATACATCTATACAAGCTATGTCATGTACATGTAACTGGTGCTACATCTGATCATCACACATAATTAGAATTCCAAGCTGGCCGGACTGGAATGTTGTCACCTATCATTGCTACTTACAAGTCTGCAAGGGCTTTGGTTGAGAGGCCTTGACTTAGTGACACTCTAAAGGTGGTCATGTGTGCGACAACTAAACAAACGAGAAAAGTTGGTAAAGGAACATGGGGACTCGTCTGTACTAGATCTTCAAAGGGCGCAACAATTCGCAGTCAAGCAAAGTCACGTTTGTTGCCACCACTCAAAGTCATAGACAGTTTATCCACATGAGGGGACAGCGAAAGGTCCTGGCTTCTGGGCACACACTGTCCATGCTGCATAAAACAAAAACCATGATTTGCCGGAACATCGCTGCGGCAACACACAGTTTGATCTCTCCGGTGTTGCCAAGCGCAGTTTTACTGGCTCAAAAGTAAGCTATATAACATGACAGCTTGAGTGAAAGCCAGCTGCTGTTATTCCAAACACTGAAGTTTTGGTGTTCCAGCTGGTGCAAGAGTTCTTCTATCAGCTGAGGTACAAAGCTTTTCTTCATTTTAAGTAAGGGAATAGTAAGCTACTAGACTAAGTTAGCTTCTGGACATGGACGCAGGGTAGCTCACGCACTAATGATTTGGTTCCTAGATTTTTATGGAGACTTAACACCTTCTCTTTGTATTCTCTTTATCACATTGTATTGAGCCCTCGAGTCTCCTGCATCATTTGATCACACAACCGTCGGAGTTCCTGAGACACCATGGCCATCAAACAATGTACAAGTTCATTGTTCAAAGAGATGACACACAATTCCGATGTGGCTTGGCATTTATATACAAGCAGCACTGCTATCTCCAAACAATGCGTGCAAATGCAATGCAAATGCCTGTCTGCTGATGCCTTTTATCCGCCCGAACAGTTCCAAGTGCTCTCGCACCTCACCCACAGTGCGTGTTTCCAAAAGCACAGCTATTAGGTTGAAGGCCATCGCTAGTAGGTTGGAGGCAATGCTATTAGGTTGCACAAGCAACTTCAAGCAAGCGGGAGCCGATCTGCGACTTGCTTCAACAAAAGAGGAAGCCGAAGCAAAGGATATTGAGTTGAAATATTGAAAGCAACTGGGACATGCCGGAGATGTAAACTTTGTCTTCACTCTTTGGTCCCCACCGTGAGACGGTCTAATAAAGCATCGTGCTGCGGGCAATAGCCCAAGAGCCGTCTCACCTGACTAAAAGGAGAAGCAATCAGCTGGCATAAGTAAGCATGATGCCCATTTGACATACTGTAGCCTTTATAACTTTAAAACTTGCTATATACCGAGTTGGCTCGCATATCAAAAGCGCCACTGACTTAATCTGTAGAGATGTCAATCGTAAACACCGCACCTTGCGTTGCTCTTGGACAATATCAAAGCCGCCCAAAAAGGCTCTGCCCGCAGAGGGCAATATTGCACCCGTCAACATACTCAATGTACTCGTCTTTCCAGCCTTAGCTGGACTGCAGAATCCTTGATCTTTGAAGTCAACTTTTCATTTTGGTTGCCCTCGGAACATCTTCAGCACAAGCCACATGCAACCAAGTCGTGAATGCAAAGGACATGAGGAGTTGTCAGTGCTCCCGGCAAGGATTGCATTTTAGCCATGCCAGGGATCAAGAAACGATCACAGGATTGATCCCACGTGCTGCCCACGCCTTCTCTACATCTGTCTTTGCAAGCATCACGCAATCTTTTGTCTTCGTGTAGGTTCTCTCGATAAATCCCTTTGGGATGTCTAGCGTGAGACAAATTCTCTGCAATTGTGACTTGTGTTTCAAGTTGCTCTGCAAATAAGAGGACAAAACCATTGCTATTAATTAAGTTGGAGGCCATCGCAATTGGGTTGGAGGCCATTGCAAATAAATAAAGATGATACAACCATTCAGATTGTACATGTGACTTGATCAGTCTTTCTAGGACATGAGCTCTTGTGCATAGTCTTTCCTACTTTGTATGGCAAACAAAACAAAATAATTGGCACATTCGCAATCACTCTGGCTGTCTTCGTTGCCAAATCCTCAGTTTTCAGTTGTTGGGATGCTTTTTGGCTTGAAACCCGGGCTTCATGCGTACTGCAAAGTCTTGTAAATACACTGGCACTGGGTCAGCTGTTTGAAAGGCTGGCACTGCGATAGAATGGTTCCTTTTGAATCCTTACCTTACCTATATACTTTCTTTCCACCTGCTCCAAGACACATGTGAAGAGCAAGGCACTTGGGTGGCTCAGGTAGCTGCTGATGTTTCGAACATACTGCTATATGGCTAGGCTATATAAGGCTGTATACCTTTCCAGCCGTTCCAATACCATTTGTGACAATTTGTGACTCCAGGAAACTTCCAAGAATCGAACTGCGACAAGTCGCTCGGAAGTTGGGCCTAGTTAGCACGGCGACGATCTGCACGTTGGTGTAGAACCCTAGGCTGCTAGACTCTGAGCACGTTTGACACGCACGGACGTGACATCATACCAAGCCCTGGCTCTGGAAATGCTGCTCTTGGGATTACAGTGGATATGGATCAGCTGATCAGCTGGTTGACATTACGCAGCGTTGGAGTCTCCCACAGAAGCTACGTGGGCAGGACAGCCCATGCAAACAAGCAACCCCATGATCTCAGAAATGTTGGCCTGTACCTTGCCGAAGTCTGATTCCACTTTGGACACCTGGGTGCACAAAGGAAGATTCAGTCCACCTGCTACTCAGAAACCTGAGAAATTGTCTACTTGAAAAAGTGCGGATCGCGCCCGGTTTTCCACCAAAGGAAGCTTGGGCCACTGGGGCCAGTAAACACGACATGCGGTGGATTGAAAGTTTTGACACTCGACCTAAAATCAGTGCGGTTCAGCGGCTGATTTTCTATACCTCACCGCTTTCGATGTACCGCCTTACATGGCCATCCCAGTCATCTTCCCACTGGGAACTGCACACCATGACAGCAAAGTGAGCGAACTCTTTTCGTTCCTCACTGGACCACTGCAAAATGTGGTCAAATGCCATGTGTGGAAACCGGCCAGTGTGCTCGGCAGCGAGCCTTGTGCGCAAAAACTCTTTGAAAAGTGTCTCAGGAAAAAGTCCATAAGACAAAACCTTTCGAGCGCGCCTCTCTTGCTCCTCCTTTTGGTGGTGGAGGAGAGTTTCCATGTCCCACCAGTCGGCATCTCGAGGTGGGTTGTTGCGGTCAATCACTCCTTCACTTGGCTGGCCTGAATCTCCAGCTTCATCTACTTCCATGTCCTGGTAGCCCAAGTCCTCATCATTCCGCTCGGATGAAGTGGGACGGTATCGTCGACGAAGGTTGCCTTGAGCATCTTCTACAAAAAACTCGTCGCCACTTTCTGCACTGTCTGAACCGCTGAGAATGCGGTATTCCCACATTCGGCCGAGCACTGGGTTCCAATCCATTGTTGTTGGATGGTGATCTCGTAGGAATCCATTTCTTGGAGCGTCACTATCGGAATCTTCTATCTCTTCTTCATCATCACCTTCTTCCTCTTGTTCGGGCTCATTGGGTGCTGAATTTTTCTTCTTGATTTTCACCTTCACGCAACTGCACACTCAAACTTCGATCTGATACTTCTCCTTCAGGATGTTGTAGTGGGGTTGGCCATGTTCTCCTGGGTTCAACTTGCCATTCTCCACCTGGAACACCATCCATCATGGTTCGCAAGATCATGCCTCGGTAAGCTCGATAGTTATCGAGGGCATCTTGGTGTTCTTGTTCTCGAATGAACTCATTTGTTCTCTCTTGCCTCACAAGCCGGGCCACTGTCCTCAGGAAAATACCGATCCTGGCGCGGTACAATTGCCACAAATCGCGCCGAAGCCGAACACGATCATGCTGTAGATCATGAACATGAAAAAGCACACCCAGCCACCACCACTCTTGTAGTTCTCCTTGTCCTAGGTGTAGACATGCTCACCTTCACTTCCAAAAGCTCCAGGTTGCAGCAACAGCAGCGTGACTAGCTTCACCATGCTATTAGGAACTTTGGAAGACAGAAGACAGGTTTGACGTCTCTTGGACCATGGTTGCCACCATCTCTCTTTTCACTTCCTTCATCCTCCTCGTCATCATCTTCTTTGCCATCTCCTTGTGGAAGGTCTCCTCACCAACTTTTGTAAACGTGTCTTCTTTGTCCTTGGCATTCATCTCAACCAGCCCAATCAAGTACATCAGGAACTCTCGACGGGCTTTCGTCAACCTTTTGGTCCCAAGGTCGGCTACATTCCACAATGTAGGAATGATGCCTTCCATAGAAAAGCGTTTCCTTCTTGATCTCGAGCTGGACCCATAGATAGCCAGTGTCGATGCGCTTCAACCGTCCAACTCCTAGCCTTTCGCTAAAGGCTCTACATGAGCTGCTGCCTGTGATGGCCTTGAGGATCACCTGCCTTCTGCTGATGAAGGTCCACAAGTCCTTGATCTGAAGACCTTCTGCACTACCTGCTGCCGCCAAAAACTCTGCTTCGCAGGAACTCAGAGCAATGCTCTTCTGGGACCTGGACCAGCTTGTGATCAGGCATCCATTCAACAACATGAATGTCGAACTGACACTATATGTCGTCTGCGCTTTGCGCTGCTTTGATCTCCAGCCCAGTCACTGTCTGAAAAGCTCTCCAGGATGTCAGGACCACTCAACTCCTCCACCTGTCCAAGAATCTCTGATTTTTTGCTTCTGCACTTCTGATATGGTAGGAGGAGTCCATAGCCTTCTGTTCGCTTCAAGTACAGAATCAAATGTTTCACCTCTGCTTCTGCCAGTCTTGGGCCATGAACTGGCTAAGATTCCTGACGCGATATTGTACGTCGATCCTGCCCTGGCTAATATAGAGCAAAGTCCCAACGGCTCAACGGAACCGGAATTGGTCTTCACCTTCTAGAGCATCCTCAGGAGGTCCCTCCAAGCTCACATATGTGCTCTCAGGAGTCGCACGTCCGCTCTGCGCTCCAACTTGTACAACTCCATCAAGCTGGGGATGTACTTCTCATGGGGCATACTGATGCCATTCGAAGTAAAGTAGTGCCTCTTCTTCAAGCACCGCACGGGTTCATCTTCTGGCTGTTCACCTTTGGGAAGAATTCCAGATTCACTCAACACGAACTTGCTCCTCATTGCTGCCAGCAACCATTCAATGCTGCTCATCTCACCAGCCACAATCAGGTCATCCACGTGGCAAACAGCAGCCAATGGCTTCTCTTCATGGCGGAAGAGCGAGGGCAAACTCAAGTGATGCTGGAAACCAATATCCTCTAGGCGAAAACTCAAATGGTCATACCACCGCGCACCACCGTCTCTTTGTCCTGGTAGGCACTTGAGAAGGGTCCAATATCTTCTCTCACCTGGATGCAACCTCTCTAATTCCTCTGGTCGCCACCATTGGGGCTTCTCCACCAAGACCAGTTTCACCTGGTCAACCAGCAAAAAGGCATCCTTCACGTCAATGAAAGTGAGTTTCCAAGAGAGCAAGGTGTGAGTTGCCAGCAAAAGCCTTGTAGCTGCTAACGAGGAAGTAGGAAAACCTGCGTCTCCTCTTCCATTTCTGCTCGCTGAATCGCCAGTCGAAGACGGACCGCGTAGTGAGCACCGTTGGACTCTCGAAGCACTCCCATTTGCAAAAGCCGGTGGATCTCTTCTTGTCCTGCCTCCTCTTCCACCAACTGCAACTCTTCATCTGAAAGCTCAGGAGGGTGTCCTTCATCCATCTCCTCTACTTCAAGCAAAGGCCACTCATCTCCACCTCTGTTGTTATGCTCCTCAATGTCCTGCTCCCATTTCTCCTCATCAACTGGCAAAGATGCTGCATTAATGTTACCAGCAAAAGTCGGGGCGTACAAATGAGCAGGACTTCCTTCAGGACGAGTTCTTGCAGCCTTTGTTCTCGGCTCCTCAAATTCTCCAGCATCCTTCATCTCCTCACCTGTCTGAGGGGCTTGAGGTCTCTTCACTTCTGGTGTTTGCGGAACTCGTTCACCAGCTTCATCAAGTCCGAAAGGCAAAGGTGGAACTTTCGCATATTTCTGTGGCATTGCTTCTTGATGAACATCTGCTTGCCTCTTCTCACCATGTCCTCCTTCTCCTCCTGGACTCTCTCTTCCTCCATGTTCCCGAGCATACCTCTCTACATCATCAGCATCTTGGTCACGCATGAAGGATTCTTCCTCAGGCTTGGAATGTGGTCCTTCTTGAGCTTGTTTGCGAGGTCGTCCTGGTCCTCTCACCCCACGAGGGATCATCGGTGTAGATGGTAGAATCCTAAGAGGTGGTCTCTTCACTCCAGGATCTTGAAAGGGTTTGTCTTTGACCAGGAACATGTATGTAGGCCTCCATGGCTCACTTGTCTTACCTCGCATCACCCCATTCACTCCAATGACGACATGAAGATCATCTTCGTTGGTCTTGCCAACCCAAATTCCCGGCAACCGCTGGGGACCTTGTTTCATGCGTGGTTG